TATATATATATATATATATATTGACGTGCGCTGGAAAATCCGCGGCGATAAAGTAACGAATTGTCATCTTAGCATTGTACGAGAATTCAACACACATAGATGAAAGAGAAACAAATAGTGATGACTCTAGAAACTTTTACGTGAAAATCCCGAAAAGGGAAAAAACCAGGGGGCCTAGCCCAATTGTAAAAATCTACCATTGATTGATGATTACTGAGACCCTTTATCCCACAGACGGGAAAGTGTTACTAGCTTTCCAAGCTATAACGTCTACTGACGACTTCTAGTCAGCGGTGGTCGAACGAAGACAACGGTGGTCGACGGTAATCAACGACAATTGAAGACGGTCAGTGGCGTTCGACAGAAGACAGCGGTGGTCGACAGTAGTCGAAGACGGTCGACGAAGGACAGCGGTGATCAGCCGTAGTCGAAGGTGGTCGAAGGTGGCCCGCGATGGTCGAAAGAGGTCAGCAATAGTCGTCGACGGTCGGTGGCAGTCAACGGCGGTCGGTGGTGGTCGACAGAGGTCAACGGTAGTTGATGACGATCGACGGAGGTCAGTGATGATCAACGGTGGTCAGTAGTGATCAACGGTGGTCGACGGTGACCGGCGATGGACGACAGAGGTCGACAGTGGTCGCTGGCGGTCGGTGGTGGTCAATGACGGTCGGTGATGGCAGGAATGATGTTGAACTTGAGGTCTTTCTCAAGGCCTCAAGTTCTCTCTCAAGTCTCCCACATATGAGGTGTGGGGCTCTATTTATAGTGTTTTGGGTGCAATTAACGCAAGAATATGAACCATTTTAATCGAACGGTCCGGAGAGCTTCCCTCGATTGGATGGTGTTTAATGGACTTTTGAGTCTCTTGACAATGTTAGAATCGAGCAATCTTGGGCTCGTTGGATTTGGCTTGTCGAGACGCTTGATTCAAGTATAGTTCTTCCTTCCAAATGTGTTTGGAATAATCTAAGAATGGTTTAATGGTTTGATCTGGGCTTGATTTGACCATGATTGGACTAAATTTGATATTATTAGGTCTGTCTCATCCAGCCGATTAGTTTGACTATAAGTTTGATGAAATCAGAGCTTTGCTTGACACTTAATTGAAAGTTTGAATGTTTATTTCTCAAAAAAGTGTCTCGAGATTCGTGCCGGCTGATGAAAATTTATCGGTGATGTATCAGTTGTCCCCTTATTTTCGGACAAGACTATTTTAGTTGTACGAAAATATTAAGATATGAAGCATCCCTTATATATAATATGCTTTCAATGTTTTTCCTAAATGTGCCGAGAAACTCTTATTTGCTCTGACACTTATTGGTTTGATAATATTTGATTTGCTTTGAGAATCTCATGCATAAGCATTAAGCTATAATAAAATGTAGCACAAATTAATCAGGGAATGCCAAAGAATGGGAAGCAGAGAGCAGGCGTTGGAGTCGAACAGTTGGAAGCGGAAAATTTCTTCTTAATTTATTATTTTTTCATTAATGAGCATTTAATAGTCCAATCTCCTT